TTTTTTTTTTTTTTTTTTTTTTTGCTTTATTTTAGATGACTGCTGAACTGCAGAAGTAGTAGGGGCAGTTAATTGAAGATTAAAACTTTTGGACTTCCGTTTTTGGTCTCTTCTTTTAAAAAATCTTCTTTTTTTAAGAAGTTTTTTTTCTGTTTTTATCTTTTTAGTAATTTTTTTTTTGCGAAAAGTAAGGTCGGTATTTTTTCAAACAATTTCTTCCTACTAGAAAACCTTTGTTCTTTTTTCTTCGTTTTGTTTAGGATTTTTATTGTTTTTATCAAAACAAAGGAAGATAATTGTAAGAAATTCTTTTTTTTTTCTTTGTCTTTATCTAGCAGTTATCGTCGTTTATACAAACCACTAAAAGTATTTAGGGTTTTTGCGGATTGTAAGAGCAAAGGGAAATTTTTGCAAATGTTTACTGAAGAAACAGCAGGAAAAAAAGCAGATAATGAAAAAAAAAAAGGAGAAAAACAATTGATTTTTGACTTTTTTTTTGGCATAAACTATGCTTATTTGGAATTGAAAATTTTTTGTACAATAAGAGCATAATGACGAGTTGTAGTCATTGTTTAATAGTCTACTTTGTTCATGTTTTTATTCTTTTCTTTTTTCCTGGATGGCGAAAATGACCGTCTGATTATTACAGTGCGGTTTGTTAATAAATCAAAGGAACTGAGGCTTTGAAGGTTTGATTTTTGTCAAATTTCATTTAGCAACTTAGGTGATTCAGAGGTGTTACAAGTCAGTGAAAATGTGTTAACAAAAAAAGACGGTAGCTTGGCGTTTTCTCTCGTACACTAAGCTCCACATTTTTTTATTTCGCTTGAAAAATGAGGGCGGAAAAAACTGTTGGTATTGTTTTGGTCGGCGTTTGTGAATCACGTAGTATTCGTCTGGTGCTAGGATAAAAGTGGAGAGCATGTTTTTATTTATGAAAGACTAAGACTTGAAAACAAAAAAGAATTCTAGAGATGGACTTTAAAGAAACGAATAGGAGTTGTGCAAAAAAAGAAGAGAGCGAAAGGAAAGAAGGAATCGGAAAAAACTAAAAATAAATTTTTTTTTTTATTTGTAGCAATTATATAAAATAAAAAAGGCAGAAGAATTTTCTGCTTTGTTATAGCCGTTTAGTTTGCTGTTTAAATTTATATTCAACTTCAATTGGAACTATGTACTGGGAAGATAGAAGAATGGGAGGAAGGAGACGAGAGGGAGGAGCAGTGTTGTTGACTTTCTGCTGTATTTTGTTTTGCTTTATTTGAATACTTTTTTTCTGCTTCTTCGTCAGCTTTCTGAAGGCAAATGCAAACCTGAATGCTGCTCGGTGTAGGGATGGAGAAGACAAAGTATGGTGTTTTACTGGACAGGTTAAGTAATAATTTTTGGAAGGAAAGATTGCGAAAGTAGCCATTTTAAACTTTTTTGATTCTTCTCTTTTTATTTGCTGATGAACTCTCTATAATTTTTAGTGTATTTAATTAGTGAAATGCTGGCTGTTTATTGGTACTTCTAAATTGTTTATTCTTTAACTTTTAAAGGGAGTATTTAGCCGGTAGTTTTGTTCTGTTTATTGTTTGAAGAGCTTATGGAAGTTGTGTTTATTGTTTGAAGAGCTTATGGAAGTTGTTAGCTGTGCTGTTTGCAAAACTTACTTACTAGGGGCTTTTGAAGATGCCAGAGAGCAAAGTAGCATTCACCAAAAATAAGACCCAACAGTGTAAGCAAGCTGTTAATATAGTTAAATTAAGCCCTGCAGATTTTGGCATTCTAGTTTTCTGAAAAACCAAGTTTAGTTCCAGTATGATGAGGCTCTTCAAATGAAAGCACATTGTTTATTGCATACGTTTTATTCGGAAGGTAGGTAGATGTTGTACAAGGAGAAATCGTGTTGAAAAACAGTTACTTGAAAGCTCTACTCAGGTGATACTTTTGAAATCACGTATCTGTTTTGTAACACTCGAGTTTATTTCTTTGGTCCACAGCATGTATATGTTTGAGTGTACCGTGTTTATTTTTTGCTCGTTGAAGACTGCTATTGATGTTTTTATTGTAGATATTGATGAATAACTGGAGGATTAGGTTTTCAAACAAGATGGAAGTAATTTTTCCACTTAGGATCTCTTTATTATTGAACTCACACTTCATTTTTATTTTCTTGGTCATGCTTTATTAATGATTCTTGGACAATTTTTGTCTTCTTGTTAACAGTGGGAAGACTGGGGGATTATTAAGGGAAACTTAAGGAAGACGGAAGGAATCGCGGTTTAGTCAGTGGTTGAAATTGCTTGAGCCTCATTTTTTTTTTCTATTAAATTCACCTTGTGCTTTTTGTAATTAGAAAAATGAAAGTCTTTAACGATTGCAAAAGCGCATTTGAACTGGATAAGAGAAAATCTGATTTTTTTTTTTCTTTTATTCAATGCTCTTCTTCTTTTAGTTATTATTCTGCTTGTTTGTATAATCTCATTTTTTGCATGACTGAGTACAATGAGCATCTTTAGTACAAAATTGTTTTTTCCTTTTATATAACCCAGTCAAGATTATTTTGGTATCTTCTTATCATTTTTTGTACCGTTTCACGGTTTGTACCGTTTCACGGCCACTGTTAACTCTTTTTTTAGGTCAACTTTTTTGATAGGATAATTTACATTTGATAGATTTTCCCTGATTGACATTGTTCACTAGTATGATTGCCTTTAATTTTAATTTTGTAATTCTTCGGTTACAGAAAATATAAAAGGAAATTACTAGGTAATATTGGAGAGGAAGACAGTAGGCAAGAAGGGAAAAAAGAAGGTATAAAAAAAATTTATATCTATTCAAATTATTGAGTGTAATGTTGAATATCTGC